CACAATATCACCTATAAGTTATGTTAAAAAATTATTTTTTTTTAGTTCAAGATTGTTTTTTTAATACTAAAATACAGAAAAAAAATAAAAGTAATTTCAATTTATTTAATTGAGGAAAATCAAATGAAAAAATGTTCTTTTATTTGATTAGTGCGAGGTTGTGTATATTTTTAATTGAACTGCATATTTGAACGAACTTGCTACTTATAATGCATTTACAAATGCATATTTTAAAGTATTATAATTTATAATGCATTTTAAAATACGTATTTGACAGTCTTCATCACTTATGACTTATGAGTTACCATAAATATGTTTTAGTCTTAAATGTACAGTAACAAAAAACACGGAGAAAAAGTATTGCGTAATTATTTAAAATTTTTCATCAATAGCTTGTAAAACAACTAATGTTATGTAAAATATTAAGCTTCGAGTCTAGATAAAGTGTAAAATATAAATCACTAATAGTATTGATATAAAATATTTGCTAATGAATTATTAATTTTTAAACGTATCTAACGGAATTTTTATTATCCCCACAAAATGTCAATTCAAAAACAAGACTTTTATAATTTATTTGTTAAAGATACAAATTATATTAGTACTTCCTTAAGTGTCTAATTAACATAATGCATTAAGTGAGTTATTAAAAAATAAACAGATTTTACCATTAAATCCCTGACATTATTTATCCGTGTATATTTATATTGTTCAATGTTCATGTTTATTGTTTATCCTACGTATAACATAACAAAATTCTCTTTTATCGTTATGATATTTATCAACAATTTATCCGAATTTGGTCTAAGGCAAAAACATAACTGATACAAAACAATATTTAAAATAATAGGAACAATATTTTTATAGCCTAGTTATGGATATCCATTTAAAATCTTAAACCTTTAATACATATTTCAAGAGCTTATGTCGTTTATTTCGTTTAGGGATATAGGTACCTACGAATTATCTAATCATTAAGGTATCTCATATTTGTTTTTATTTATTAGTTTTTACCTACCAGAGATTTTTTTGTCAAAATGTTATCGATTATTATTAAAAAATAAGATTTGGACATTTTGATAAATTTGTAATTATCTATTTTACAATTACTTTAAGATTGTATATAATGCATTTATGCTATATAATATGTTGGATGTGGGTTGTAGATTTGTAGACGTGTAATATATAATTTTATATGTTGAATTAAATTTATTAACTTATAGTCTATAAAGTTAATTCATAAATTGTTTCTTAATTCTACACTCGAAATAAACGTTTGTCAATGTAATTGTAAAATATTTATTTTTATTTTAGTAATTAAAAAAAAAAAAACTGATATAAAATGTGTATCGTTCTATTATTATAGTCACTTAACTTTGTAGGTATACATGTATAGGATATAAATGATTAATTGGTATCGAAAGAAAGTGATTGTAATGATTATTGATCTGGAAGCCGGTCAAGCGAAGAATCGTTTGGGTAGTTTAAATATTTAGGTCAACTTTTTACGATTTACTGATTGTAGTTTATTGAATAAATGACATAAAAAAATTACGATTTCTTTACCCATTAAAAGTGAATCTTTTGATGAATTAAAAATATTAGTCACAACTCACAAGGGCTGCAGTATGCAGCAGCGACGAAGTAATGTAGATCAAGAAGATGCAAGACAAGTGTTATGGGCTAGGCACCGTTTCGATTAAACGGTCAAAATATGAAATATATATAATAAGAAAGTCACGGCCATTATTTCCATGCATTGTTTACGTTTCGCATATGTATTTGTTTTGTACAATAATTGTGTACTTGGCTGCATGCAACTCAATCTCATTGTACGAATATATATATATATATATGTATAAGTATAGGTATATGTATTACATACACACAAAAACTGATGTTCACAATAGGCAGAGAAAGTGATTCTTCTTCTTCTAGTCTCTATCTCTCTCTCGCCACATTTTTTTTCTTACAAGCGTAGGCATCATAGATAATTGCGTGCGTTCATTTTGTCGATTCATCAGTACCACCTACGACGGCCACATATTATTCATAATAATAATAATAATAATAATAATAATAATAATAATAATAACATAGAATATGCATACCGAAATTACATGCTTGAATTGGTAGTTTTTAACAGAAAAAACCCGATCTAGGTTTCTATGGTCTGTAAAGATGTCTTGTGAATCGACGATGAAAAGCCATATTGATAATTGGATGACACGCTTGCATGAATAGTACGATATTAATATGATATTGTACCAATGTTTATAGCATTCAGTATGATTATTTTAACAGCAATTACTCATTATTTCAAAAATTAAGACTCAATTCTAGCATTTAATACTGTCTAATGTCTATATATTTTTCACCCTTGGATACGTAAATGACAACCTTATTTCGTAATTCTTAGAAGCAAGATTTAAAATGTTTTTGTGAGCTATTGACCTATTTTCCTACTTTTTAAAATTATAATTTTTATTATTTGTTTTTCTATTATATAAAATATAAATATATTTTCATCTTAGATAACAGCATGCATCAGTCGTATCAATCACTTCGTTCATTATTTTTCTTATTTATCCCTTATCGCGTGCTTTAATAGACTTCTAATTTGATTTATTTTTAATTTTCATTCTTTCATCATTTAAAAAAGTTTCTTTTAAAATGTATTCACATAATTGTTTAGTTTTAGAATTTTTTTTTATAGACATTCAAACTTTAGAAAAAACTTGTCGGTCAATTGTTGATTTTTGCATTCATGTCTATTGCATTTTCCACCATGTTTAAAGTTGCATTACAGCGTGAATTAAACGCAGAACGTGTAGAAATGCAACTATTTTTTAAAAAGTGTTATAAAATCGTGGCGCTAATTGTTTAAAGTAAAAATGTGTTCATAAAAACATACATGGTTCCTTCGCGTTTTGCGCGAGAACTACATTTGAACCCAGTAATATTATAACGGGTAGATTAAAAACTATCCTTTTCTTCTGTACTGTCGATATCTATAACTGTTTTATTGTAATATATAAGTGTTTGGTTTATAAATTCAAAAACTACTCTACCGGTTTCAGCGAAAATGTAAGATATTGTTTCTAAAGCTATCGGGAAGATTTTGAGAGACCACGTTCGATAGGTGACACTAAACAAATGTTGAAAAGCCTCAACAACTACTATAATAGTATAATACCTGTTAAGTAACAATAATAACAAGACAGACTGTCTTGGAGGTGATCCATCTTATTATCATTCTTTATATATTTAGTATATATAAATTGTAAATCGTAATTGATATAATAAGAAATACCTATATATATTACTGTATTTTAAAATAGAGTTCATTTTGCCTAGCTGGTGGAGGTATTCAGGACAACGAAACTTATTGGCTCAAAAAGTTATTGATACTTAAATAATAATACAACGACCGTTGTATATAATCCACTGGACTTTTCGCCTAGGTCAGATTTATCCATAAAGCTATAGTACATTGACACAGTGACACCGCCATGACCGTGAACTGAGGTGTAGGTACACTAAAACCAAAATACACAGTGATAGATTGCTGTATTTTTATACGGGTCACAAGGCTAGTTATTAATAAAAGGTAGTCGGTTTAAGTAGGTGAAAAAAAATAAATATCGGTCGCTGTATAGAAATGTTAGGTAGTAATATTAAAAATTATGATACTAAACAATTTATACATATCGCTGAGATGACAGAAAATAATAAATAGTTTGTATACCTACTTTCCCAGTTCACAGACACCCACTTCCAAGTTTGCCGAAAATAAACCGGTTATAATATTTATTATATAACTTCCAAATTTGCCGACAACGTTTAACAATTATTGTGTATGTATATTGTATACTGTATTGTAAATATTCATAAGCATAAAACTGTATAATCGACAACGGTTTTAAAGATTACAGCTCATTTCTATTATCGAGTATATATTATTAAGACAGTAATAATATAACCTAATACATATCGTTAAAGAATTGTTAAATCGTAAAATAAAAAAAAAATTTGCTAGTAACATAATTGTATTTATAGATTTGATAAAATAAACGAGACAAAATCGAATGCTATATCTATATAATATGCATGTTACATTATAAATTTATAACAGTGGCGGTAGTGAAATTTAAAAATATAATACAAATGTTAAAAAACCATAAGTAATCAAACCATCCAACACAAATTCTTAACTACAAAATAATTTGCCATTTTTCGTTTTTAACATATTTTATCAAATGTATTAACTTTAAATGCTTTTTTTTTTTTAAATGTGTTCTAACATGAACTATCAATATTTATATATTTCTACATGAGAAAAGTTTTATTTTTCGAATAACGACAAAATAACTAATATAGTAATTTAATAATAAAAATATTTAGTAATTTTCGTATTAAAAAAGTGTATATTTTGTCTTCTACTGCAGGGTGTCTGTAAACTGGACATGGACCAAATAGTTATGATTCACGATTGTTTTCGGTATGGCTACACGTCTACCTTCGTCTTTCATGTACCTAATCATCAGTAATCATATTTTGATACGGGTTTACACGTTAGGGTTGATATAAAGTCGTACAAATATTTGAAATCGTATCCACATGATTATAATAATATGTAGTATATCATATCGGCCACGGCGGTGTTACTAATTGATTTTTTAAAGTGTTACAATTAGTACCGCGGAGACGTTTGCGCGCGGCTTTACCCAGTCATTATTGTAACCTTCGAGAAAACATTTTGGTCCATTTTATTTTACGATTTTACTACAATCCACTATCGTCGGCTAAATGTTGGTATATAAAATATATACCCACTAATCGGTGCGAATTTTTCAGGAGTATAATTTTTTTTTATGTGTGATTATTAATATTATAGTGGAAACAGTGTTATTATACTGGGATTTTTGGTGATTCGGTAAATCAGTAAACTATCGATTTAATTTATTTATTTATAATATACCATATAATATTTGTTGCAGTACCTAAATACCCGAAATCGGTAAGACCAGAATTCACTAGAAGAAAAGAAAAAAATGTTAGTACATAAAATACATGCCTCTGTTCCAAAATGCATCGAACTAAAAACAATTGTTGCTGTACGTTTAGGAAATAATGTAGTCTTCAATGAGAAGCTTAGTAGAAGCTAAGTTGTCCACAGTTCATTAAATGTAACTTAAATAGTAAGTATAATGAGCAAAACGTGAAAAATGTTTTTTTATTATTATATTAAAGTTTTTAAAAATAGTAAATATAGCTCAAGCAAAATTATGAAAATCAATAGGAGACAAATAATTGAGAACAAATGATTAAAAGATTTTGAAACGGAATCATAAATGTTCACAACTTAAAAGTTTTTCTGAATAGGTACTTACACCATCTTGTGTTTTATATCACATTCTTGAATTGTGCATTTAGTAATTATTTCAATTAAAAATTGGTTTTATCATCTTTGTACAATGAGTTTTTATTTATGTCTAGGGATCAGATTTTAAGAATTTTTTTTTTTAGTTTTTTTGCATATTATTTCTGTGGTTATGCCATATTTTTGGGTAGGGTTTCTTGACGTTTCATTGAACAAGAAATATACATAAGTAGGTACAACATTTTATTATAAAAATGTTTGTTCAAGTTTTTCATTGTTTATTTTTGATTTGTGACAGATTTTTTACACATTCAACATATTATGAATTTTCTTTCAATTATTGTTCTTGTAGTTCTATTATCTAAGTTTCAAGTGTTAATGTTCATATCATTTATATTGAATGCAGCAGAACAATTATACATTTCATACAAATACACGTATTGACTATAGATTAAACGATGTATATAGTAGGTAATAGTTGATATAATTAGGATCATAAACTTCTATTTTATTGTGAAGCTAGTTTGATCTATTTGTATTATTATTTATTTATTAGTATCATATTAATCTTAATTTTTATTGTGTACATTCGTGTTCTATTTTAAACACGTACTTTTAAGTAATTAGGTATTTCAAGTCAGTGAAAAAAATATGAAATGTTTGAGCTACAGGCTACATTATTTAGTAATTTTGATTAAAAACTATTTTTCCAAATACGGTAAGCTATACAATTTTAGATAAATGTTACATCTATTAAAATGAATTATATTTTATTGTAATTTAAAAACTTTATAGAAGTAAGTAATATCATTATTAAATATAAGTTTCTATAATCAATACGCTTTATAAAATAAAAATTACAACATTTTTTTATTCAAATTCACAATAGGTACCTGGTACTTACTCAAATATAAGATTGATATTATAAATTTAATTTTTATATTATCTGTATAAAAAATTGTTTCAATAAATTTAGTAAAATATAAAAGATAATAAGGTGACTTTTTATATTATGATTTATTTTATAATATATATATATACAGTCGTGGTTACCTTAAACCGTGAATGAAGTATAATAAAATATGAAAAAACTACAGTATTTTTGTAGAATGGATCCGGATTAGTCATGAAAAAAAGACTTTGTATAACAATACTTATAATTTTTATAAAAGCAAACAGGAACAGAGTGTTATCATTATCATTTCACTAAATATTTTAAAAAAGGCAAGCACAAAATAAATTGGATTTAAATCATCAATAAGAAAATGAAACTATTTAGTTGAAAGATTGACAAGCGCATAAAATGTATTTAATTGAAATACCTAATTTAAAATGAATGAAAAATAAATTATAATAGCAGTGGATGAGTCAAGCATTTTTTTTTCATCATGAATGTTAAGTACTTTGTTATATGAAAAGAATATGCAGCTAAGCAGCAAATTATAAAATTAACTTTATTTATTTTCCATTAATTGGATAAATGTTATGATGATAAAATGAAATAGGTCAAAATATTAGAACTTATATTACCATACATCTGAATACCTACGTAATTATATTATTATAGTATAAATTACTCTTAAAATCAATAATTTACTATTATAATTCATCACATACATTATTTTTTAAACATTGTAATAATTTAACAAAATAATGAATCTGAATGCTGCTTACTTAAGACATTGTTTACAACCTAGTTTTAAGTATTATTTTTGATATTTTTTCTGGGTAGCTATTAGAATAGGCATATTACTACGATACGCTATTATGGTATTTCAAAGTTTTATTAACTGCAGTCGATGTTTTTCTATTAAGATACAGACCACGTGATTTATACTTTAAGACTTTAAGTGACATTTACGAATTAATTAAAAATAAATGCAAATTAACGAACAATATGCTTCAAAATAAATTTTTATCGTGTCTACCGCAACATTTTACTCGAAAACTGTAGCCATTTCACATGGTCATCCGGTGGTCTTTAATGTCCAATATCCTGCGCCTGTGCATTATTCGTTCAACTTTCCCCATCCGGCCTGTTCGAATCAGGTCGAGGAAATTTTTAAACATCGGTTTATCATCGTCGTGAGGTTTTTTCTTTCGTTCTTTCTTTTCTTTCGTATTAAAAACAATGGTCGGATGACAACCGCGTGTGATGATCTACTTGTGTGACGGAAAACCGTTTCATCATCGACGACGACAACGGCAGTGTCTGTGGCAGTGGCAGTGGCAGTGGCAGTGGTGGCGGTGGTAGCGATCGCAGTGTCGACGGACGTTTCTCCCCGCCACCAAAACGCTCGGCCGGCATCAAGTCTCGTTCCGGTGCACCATCCGACGAACATTCCGTCTTCCGCTATCGTCCGGACCGGTGTACTGTTTAGTTCGCGATGTTTTACGAAATGCGTGACAAGCAATATGATTCCGGGTCGTCGTGCCTGGGTCGGTGCTGGGTGTTGGTGGCCATGTGCGGATTACTCATCACCGTATCGTTCATCGGGATGACTTTGTGGCTCGGCATGAACAGTAGGCCGGATGTACCGGCGGCGGTGTACCAGCCGCCTGTGCACGCGGTCCCGAACGTGCACAGACACCACTACGAGGTGACTACAGTCAAGTCAACATTCCCGACGGCCGACTATGACGCGATGCCCACCACGAGCATAAAGAACAAAAAAGGCAGGATCGAAATAGTCGAACACGAGAAAATGGCCAAAATAGAACCAACCACTCCGACTTCGAGGGTCGAGGCTAAGCTCGACGACGGCGTGAGTCCAATAGAGGAGACCATAGAGCCGTCTAGAGTGAACGGGGTGAGAAAAAAGAGCGAGGTAGTGTATCCGAATTGGTCTGAAATGGAAGGAAAAACCGAAGAAGAGGTGGAGGAGCCGCCGCAAGAGTTTCAACCTTATTACGTGAGCGAACAACCAGATACGCAAAAGTTCAACCCTATACCCGCGTTCTCTTACCTCAAAGAACACCCAATCCGATTGTCAGGAAAAGACATCCGACCTCCGGGCACAACAGAAAGTGAGGAGTACCCATATTTCTATCCGCAGTTTGAGGACGTAACGCCCGCAGACGAGAAAGCCGTCAATCCTGTGTTCACGTTTTTGAGGAAAAGGTTACAGGACGTTCGCGATTGGTTGGCCCAGTCAGGCATCCGAAAGAATCAGAGTCAATGGATTCAAATGGTTGATGCTGTTAATCAATCGCTGTATACGAAAAATGCCACAATCGTATTGTCGAAGCTCCGTGAAATGTACGCCAACACTAGTGATGTAGCTGCCGACACGCCTGTAGCTAGCTTAATTTATCCAGCTGCCTCTAACGATTCCGCCGCTAGCCTAGTTTCGTTCGGACTGTTGGCCATCGATCTTTTTCTGTTGCATAACGTACAGCAAATCGCCCTTAACGAAGACGCGGAAGCCGGGCAGCAAATGCTCAACGACCCGGACGTGGTGGCATTAAATGCGCTGTTTTTGTCTCCCGACCGTGTTAAACAACTGCGTTCGGCCAATTCGAGAGTGTTATCGGACGACCGTCGCAACAGGAACCCCAAAGGATTCGTATCTGAATTGATGGAGTTTATCAACGGTGGTTTAAGAGCCATACTCAATCTGAGTAGGGCGTACAGGAGTAGCTCTCGGGCGGCTAAGGCCGAAGGAAAAAGCGTGGGTGATAATCCCACTGCTAGTGGATCATCGTTGGATTGCATTTGGACGTTATACTGTCGAAATTTAGACAAGACTGCTAAACTGGATGGACCTTATGGATTTTTAGCGAAGATGAACAGGTACACTTTAAAATTTATATTAATTCATAAAAAATATTTTTTTCTGATTTTCCTCGAATAAAATTGTCTATAAAATAAAACAATACATTTTTGCATAGTAAATTTATTTCACATTTGAAATAACTAAACCATAATTTGGATGAATAAATAAATAAATTAGTATAAAAATACCTTTTTAAAATGCTTAACAATTTAAATTTCTAATAAAGTGTTAGTTGATTTTCTGTTTAAATTGGGTTACATAGTTTTGAGAAGTGTATATTAGTTCTACTGTTTACATTATACTAATATTTTTATTCGATTGGTGGTTGTTACTATGTTAAGATTTTGGTACCTTTTAATCATTGTAACAATTATACTAAATTTTGAACAAACTGGATAAAATTACAAGCACTGCGGTCAAGTACGGTGAACACCTGGATTTTTTAAATTGATCTGATGTGAAGCTGTAGAACTGATGATTTCATTATAGTTATGATTATAATTTATAATATGACGATTTTTGAGTTAGGCTTACGACGATAATACGATACAGAGAGTAAAATAATATTCTTTGTATGAAATTAGTTCTCCTCTTTGCTGATCAGTTTCGTTGTCAAATTTATTTAAATTATAAACTGGCCGTTGACTGAGCGGCCAAACATGTAAATTTGATTCATTTTGATCATCGATGCCCGTTGTGACTTTCACACAGATCCATATAATATTTTCATAAGCGCCTCGCATGTGCATTTTAAACACGTTTTTGTAGAATCACATTACATTCTAAACACCTACGGCACAATCAAATTTAAAACGTGTTAGGAAATAAGTATGTTTAATGTTTATGCTAAATGAGTTTTTCTGAAGTATGTTTGCACCATCCATAACACCCGCTGTAGTGTTTCTGTATATAATTATTGGTAAGTACTGCAGTTTTCTTTCGTGGTGCAAAAAACCGAACACGTGTGAACCGTGTAAAATACGTTTTCTCGGGACAAATAAGGAAAAATAGCATCGTCGCTCTGTGACGGCGTGTTTAACGGGGAATTATTATTCACGTTCATTAGCATTGTGAAGCAACCATAACATTATATAGGTATTATATTATAGCGGTCAATCAGGTGTGAAACTTGGCGATGGCGTTTCAAAACATAATATTTTGTTGTTTACAATGTTGACGTAAAAATGCCAATATGTATATTTAAAAAACCCGTAAGATAAAAATATCTATCAATTGTATTTTTTACACGTCATTTCGAGTTAAATACCACCGGTGGCAATACAATAATTTTACTTTATAGTTTTTAGACATATTTTCCATTGATGGCGCCAACCGAAGTTAGTTTCAATATTAATAATAATGTAATAATATGTTGAGATATAAATCACTAACTAAAACCCTAGAGCTTAATATATATTATTATTATGTATCATAATATAAAGAGCCTCAACCAATTAAGAACAAAAAATATAAATAAGGAGCAAACGAGTAAATTAAATATATGATTTTTTAACACTTATATGGATAATAAAATGGGCCGTTCGCCCGTGTGAAGCATTTTTAATGTTAAGCGGAACAGAGGAGCTATATTTAGTTATTTTACAATTGTTTATATAATATATTATACATTTTATAGGTATATTTAAACTATCTGAAGGCTGAGACTGTAAAAACTAAAAATGCTTTCGACGATTTTTGAATAATTCATGTATATATAAACTAAAGTGAACACAAATTGTACTTGAAAAAATAATCTTTAGACATTCCAGTTGTTTTTGAAAAAAAATGTCAGCAAAATGTTTGTTACGAAATCGTTCAAATGTCGATTACACTCTCTTCAATCTCTAAAAATGCAGTTTTATTATTTTTACCTTAATGTGCAAAAGCGCTTCTTCACATTTTAATTTGTCATTTAATTAGTTAATTCTACTGTTATATTCAAAACAGAAACTGGAAAACTGGAAAACACTAGCAACGTTAGAAATAATATGAATTCATGCATATAACATTAATTAAAGTATTATTTAAATTATAAAACATTTAATCTTGACATTACCTTCCTATGGCATGACATTTTAATGTTTGAACTTTGATTCATTCTATCAAATTGTAATTGTAATAAAATAGATCTTGAAAATGCATTTTTAAATTAAGTTAATAAATAGATATAACTTTTTGTGTGCCGAGATGAATGAAACAAATAAACGAGTGCTTATTTTTCTGTGGTGTCCACTATCTTGTATCTATTCTGAGTTTTGTCTTTAACTTGTTTAGTTAAGTAATACTAACATATAGTAACATCAAATGCCTAATATTATCATATTTTCAATGTTTTAATAATATATACAACACTATTATAATTCATATAATAATTTATAAATATTTATATTCAAAGTGATTCACCAAGCAATAAGGATGTTCACCACTACTTTTTCCTCTTATAACGAATTTATCCAGATTTTGATTGTTGGAATTTTTGAGTTTTCTCAAGGACAATATTTTAAAATACTTAAATTGTCCATACCATTTATGAAAGCCAATACATTTACTGTGAACTGTTGAGCAGGTTATTTTTTTGAAAATGTAGATTGATCTAAATCAAAATTTGCTAATGTTAGTTCGTGTTACCTATTCTTTGTGCACGAAGATTTAATTTTGTTTAAGTTAACTAGTTCCTTCTACAATAAATAAGACATGGAAATTCTCAAGGGGTGGGGAATTTAAGTATGAATATGTTTAATAGTTACTTACATTAATTAGTTAAAATGTTTAACTCTATAAATACTATATATTACCACTAATTGTATAATACTTTTATGCTATTAACTATTATATTTAGGTATGCTAACTATTTAATATTAATTATACTTGAATTCGAGTATTAGGTTTATTATAATTACAAAGCTGCTAATTGCTATATTTTATACTGGCGACATTAATTTGGTCATAATATATTTTGCTGTCGATATTGTTTCTTTACAGTGTACTACGGGGTACTACGGGAACCGAGTTTTTTAAAAGCTTGAATGAAAATAGTTGATTTTTTCAATAGAAGAAAGAAAAACATATCCACTATTTTTTGTCACTAAATTGTTTTTCAGGCTGTGTAAGTCTAAATAAAAGTTTTGGAAATGGTTGTATTGTTTGTGAATGATGACGGTCATTCTATAAAATTGGATTTCGGTCATTTTTGGGTCGTTAAGTACTTTTTTTTTTGGACCATGTTAAAATGGTTTATTGTCTTTTGAAAATAATAATTGAATTAAGTACCTTTTAGTATATCAGATTTCCCGCCTTTTTAACGTAACGTAATAAGTTTCTTTTAACAAAATGTTAATTGACGGTTTCCACTTACTGAAAAAAAATAAGGTGTGTACTTTTTACAAAATTATTTAAATATAACAGTAATAACTAAACATGGGTTTATTAAAATGTTAAATCAAATCACATTAGAAATTTGAAGTAATTTAAATTGATAAAATGGAGTGTGTGTTAAAATTAGGTAACGTACGATTACATTTTTTTTATTAACTACTTGGAACATTTTATTATTTTTTCGGTTTCGGTTCAATTTCGGTCCATAAAAAAATTCTATGATGGTTCTTAAAATTTCAGAATTAAGGTTTTGATTCTGAAACCGATAAATACCGATATTTAGAAGTAGATATATTTTCATTCTAAGGGTAAAAAAAATTAAGTACAAACATTAAACATATTATCTAAAATGATAAAATCAAATTATAGCAGTGTTATTGGGTCAAAATACTTAGTAAATTTACCGTTTTATTCAAAAAACATTCATTACAAATTTAAAAAAATAGGGCTGACTTTAAGTTGTATAAGAAGTGGAAGTGAAGTTAAATAAAAATGGAACTGAAAAAACCGAAACATTTTCTCCTAATAAATGTTGGTTTCGGTTCCGGTTTAGGTTCCTAAGAAAATAAAAGAAGGGTTTCACCAATGTTCCGGTTCCAATATTTTAAAAATGTTCCTGTTAAAATACCGGTAGGTATTTTTAATTACGATTCTAAGTCCTGCTTGGAATACCAATGTATAAATACTTTATTTTATGGACATTTTATTATTTTACAATACGATACTATCATCTAGTATACGATGTTCAAAATACGTAAATAACTTTAAGTCGTTTTTTATTATGGTTTATAAATAAATTAGAGATTGAATATTATAGCCATTCGGATATATATTCACGTATAAATATTATCAAAATGTTAATAACTAAAAATAGAGATCGATGTTATTATTTTATTTATTTTATTAATTCTACAGTCTAAGCTTTCAAGTACAAATAATAATTGTGGATTGTTAGTTTATTGAACATGTAATTTTAAAGAGAGCAATTTAAGATCCACCTGAAAGGACAATGCGACATTTATTTTAAAATATTATGAGCATTAACATGACTGAATAGTGAATAACCTCGGTGAGGTGGACAAATTGTCTGACTAATTGTACTTCTTTCGTAGGTACTTACTGAATGTGATAAATGAATTCCCATACAAGTTTACTTACATATATAATAAAGTTTATACAAATTTCACTTTGGCGTTCGGTAGTTTATTTTTTTACAAATATGATTCATGTCTAAGGTGAGGTTACTTACTTATTCAATTTTATTATAGATAATTGTAATGAAGTTGACACACAAGATATAGAATGGTCAGTATGGATCGTATAATATAGAGATATTACATTTTATTAAATTAGTTATGTAGTATAACGTAGGTATGAAGTATCATATAATATGCATATATATATATATGTATACGATGTTCATATATTTTCTATTCAACATAATCCTCATTCATTATAAATGAAAACTATCATTTTTACTATAGTATGTGATTTCTTTTACATTTTTATATACGTGGGTAATAACAAGATTTAAGTCTTATTTTTTATAAAAAACCATCATAGTACAAGGATATTAATAATGATAATACCTACACTAATACAGTACAATAATATTTCATATGTTTTATACGTCTATATTAAT